AATATCATATGTTTCTCCACAGCACTGGGTTTGCCAGCATCCAAACACCCACAGTAAGTGGTTCTGACTGCTGTACTGTTCTCTACTGGGCTGTATGGGACTCAAAAGCCCTTTCTGGTTACTATTACTCAAGATAAAAGCTCTAGAGCAGTTAATGGGTAAAAGGCCAACATACTGAAAATGTTAAAGTACTGGCAAGTGTACAACTGATGAGAATTGTTAGATGAACTCCAGTATTATTATTATATGTTGCTGAACAAAAAAATTAAAATGTCACCTACAGAGGGATATAGTCTGTCCTTCCTTCCTTCCTTCCTTCCTTCCTTCCTTCCTTCCTTCCTTCCTTCCTTCCTTCCTTCCTTCTCTTCTTCTTCTTCTTCTTCTTCTTCTTCTTCTTCTTCTTCTTCTTCTTCTTCTTCTTCTTCTTCTCTCTCTCTCTCTCTCTTTCTCTCCCCCCCTCTCTCTTCCCCCCTTCCTTCCTTCCTTTCTTATTTTTGTTAATCCTCATCTGAGGATACTTTTCCACTGATTTTTAAAAAGAGTGGAAGGGAGGGGGGTGGGGAGAGAGAGAAACATTATAAGAGAGACGCACTGATTGGTTGCCTCTCACATGACCCCAACCAGGGCCAGGGATCGAACCTGCAACCCAGGTACCTGCCCTTGACAGGGAATTGAACCTGTGACCCTTTGGTCTGTGGACTGACACTCTAACCGCTGAGCCAAACCAGCCAGGGCTGGAGGGATACAATCTTTAAAGATGATTATTCATGTCTTCAATATGATCAATCTCTTACTATGCACTGCAACACCATAATATATTAAGTTTTTGACTAGCAATGAATATTTATTTTTATCCAGTGAAATGGCTGGAAAAGATAGTAATGAGCATTCACTGACTGTTCTCAGTTTGTTAAATAACTGATAAAAACAACTAATATTAATGCTAATATTTAGTATGTGCTAAAAGCACTGATTTAAGGATTGTTTTAGCTCTTTCGCCTACTCATAAAAAGATTTCCTCATAGTTACATACATGTCTTAGCTTAGCTGTAGTAGATATATGTAACTATCAGAAAAAATTTTGTGTGTAGAGAAGAGAATGAATATTTGTTGAGTTCTTACTACTATTACGGACACCGGGTCTTTGTTTAGTCCTCATAACAAACCCATAGTGTAGGAAACTTCAACTACATTTTACCAATACAGACATTGATGCTTGGAGCGTCGGACGGACGGTAAACAGCTGTGTCAGGAAGCAGCCCCAGGCCTGCCCAACTCGAGCCTTGCATGAAGGGAGGGGGCAACGAGGGGTGGGGTGAGTCCTGGGTGAAGCTAGTTCATCTGAGGATCCAATAAAAGAGTTTTGAGAATGACCAAAATAAAATACTACAGAGACCAAACAAGAACACCAACAGCAAAAAGGTCAAAGGCAAAATCATATCAGATTATAGAGCAAAAAGCAAGGACCGGATGGTACAAGAATATACTGGGGACATGCGAAGGTAAGCAGTCTTGGTCTCCAGTGGACACAGGCTTTTTCAGTAAGCTAGACATCTTTAACTGGGGGGGGGGGGGGGGGGAACTAAAGTCACAATACATTTTTCTATCACATACAACTCATTACATGATTTAATTAATTTAACATATGTACTATTCATTAGGCGTATTCCTCAAAACAAAACGTTTGAAAAATGCTGTGCATTTTTCAAAAACTCCCCCAAACATTACATATTCTCAGTATTTTTTTCTGACAGTGTTCTACACAATGAACCCCTCCCTCATCCATGCTCCCAAAGATTTTATACATGCCTGTTTATGTGACTGCTTCCCTTGTTAGAAGAGGAAGCCACAGTGGCAGAGATTGTCTTATTACCTTCAAACCCACAGAAACATAGACAAAAATTCAAAAATGTCAGTAATTATATTAAATGTAAATGGTCTAATAACTCAATTAAAGCTCTGAGAATGTCAAAGAGATACATAAGACAAAACCAAACTATATCTTTCTATAAGAGACCTATTGTAAATATGAAACATAGGTTAAAGAAAAGAATGGAAGAAGATATATTATACAAACACTAGTCAAAAGAAAGCTGCAGTGTGAAAAGACAATAACTGAAATTATTGAAATGGACAGTACAGTGATGAGGGGCAAAACCATATTTCTGGAGCCTATATTTAAGAAGATATTGAAACATGCAAAATCTCTCTCATCTTTAAACAGAGCTCCCTGAATCCTCTGAATACTCCACTTCTACATCTCACCCTCAACAGCTGAGTCCTTGAGATACTTGGTTAAATTCAATGGGGTTTTTTTTGGTCAACTTCCACTTATTTATCCACCTCTTATTGAAAGAGTCTTTGCTAGGCCTCCATGTATTAAATCTAAAAGCCATTTTCAATCCTCATTTCGTTTGATCTTCAGCAATGTATTATACTATTGACACATGACTCTTCTTAAAATACTCCAATCTCATGGCATCATACTTTCTAGGTTTTCCTCTTACATCTCTGTCTGCCCCTTCACAGCTTCCCGGCAGCAGTTCTCAAACTTCCTAATGCCGTGACCCTTTAATACAGTTCCTCATGTTGTCGTGACCCGCAGCCATAAAATTATTTTTGTTGCTACTTCATAACTGTAATTTTGCTACTGTTATGTCTTAGGTAACCCCTATGAAAGGGTCGTTCAACCCCCAAAGAGGTCGCGACCCACAGGTTGAGAACCGCTGCTTTACAGCCTTATCCACTTCCACTCAAGCATTATGTTAGAGTTTTCCAAGTTTCATTCTTAGGCCCTTTTCTCTTTTTACTTTATAAACTATCCCTAAATTGTCTCATTCTTGCTAATAGCTTCAAGTCCCATCTATATGACAATGACTTAAAATTTATATTTTAGGTGGCAACTTGCTAAAATTCCATGTCAATCTGCCTTCTTGACATCTCCAGTTTGATGTCTCAAAAGTACCTCAAACTTAACATACTCAAAACTAAAGTCACAGTATTTCCTCCTGCACCTCCTGCTGCATTGCTTCTCTCTTAGTAAATGAGATCACTGATCCATTTCCAAAAGCAAAAATCCTAAAATTGTCTGACACACACCCTGCTCTTGTTCTTCCCATCTAATTGTTTCTTCACGCCATGGCTAAAGTGATCTTTTTTTAAAAAGAAAATCTGAGCGTGTCACTCCTTATTTAAAGTTTTACAATGACTTTTCCCTTCTCTTAAAGAAAAGACAACAAATTCTGACCTTTCCCTTCTCTCTAGACCATCCTTATCTCAGATACTCTTGCCCTTGTTCTCTTTATTCCAGCCACATTGGTCTTTCTCAGTTTCTTCTTCCCATCTACGTCTTTGTAGATGTTCCCACTCCCCTCCTCCTGACCTGAAACACTCCTCTCTTCCACCCCTGGATAACTCCTAACCGTCTCCAGATATTAGCTCAAACATCACTGACCCTGAAAAGACTTTATTGATACCAACAAAGCTGACACAATCTCAACAGTATATAATATAATATTAACCAGTAGAATGGGGTCACAGAGTTAGCAGGTAAAAAAATACATGTTTCAGAGAAAGGCTAGAATATATTTCAAATATTTATTCAAAACATTTTTTTCAGTTTCCTCTTCATTTTAATTTCTCTTGGTGGACATCAAATTTACTATTGTCTCATTAAGAAATTAACAAAGTCATTTTAAAAATTGAACTCATATCTCAGGTCCCAAATAGTGGGTTTGTTTATTTAATGGATACATCACCAGTATTTTTCATTCAATAAACATTTGTTGATCACCTACTGTGGACCAGGCTGTTCTTGGCACTAGAATATACCTTTACAGCAGGAAGGAAAACCCCCAAATTGCTTATCTTTATGGAACTTATATTGTACTGAGGGTAGGGAGCAAACAAATAGTAAGCAAATGAATAAAGTATATTACATGTCAACTGATAGTGAGTGCTAGAGTAAAAAATATAAATCAAGGAAGAAGGAAGGTAGGTAGGCAAGAGTGAGATCGAGTTTGGTGGGGAGGGAGGGCTGGTGGTTGTAATGGTGGCTGCGATTATAAATAAATACCATGATCTTTAAGGCTTTATTGGGATGCTGACACTTAGGCTAAGACCCTCAAGGAGCTGAAGAACCAAAACATAGCTGAGCATCCATCTGCTTTAATGCAAACTCTTTTTCTGTTGCTATATTATTTGAAATGGGTCAACAGCTGAAGGCAGAATGATTGTTTTTTTACTTACAAGTTACCCTGATCTATTGTAATCAAACCAAAGGGAAGACAGACATTCCAATTATTGGTAACCCTCTATCACTGTTGATATATCTGCCTTTTGAGAAAAAAATTTTAATGTTTTATTCCCATTAAAAATTATAAATGTTTATCTTATTTTATGTAATTATGTCACAAAATAACTTCATTTTTTGATACTCCCCAAACACATATTTTAAATGTAAAAAAATTTTAGTCTTAAATGAGCCCAAATTTTATCGTGGACTAAAATTTTAAGACATAAAATAACTGCTGAAACTGAATTTTAATCACACAGATGAATCACAACATGAATTTTAGCTCGGCATGTATTATGGATAAGTCTAGTTTTCTACAGAGAATAATCACATGTTCTAATTACCATTTTGGTTATACGCATAATTAATAATATTCTGTCTTAATGGGACACACTGAATCTTCAGACAGTTGTAAGCTTTAACTATGCACACTGCCAAACCCAACTGTCAGCTGCACTGCAAACACAAAGGAATCTTGATGTAGTGTTTTAGCATTGATAACAATATGCACAACTTTATACGTGATACAATGGAAAATTAATTGCTTTCCTTCCTTCAAAATTTTCTCCACACTAATAATTTTATATTGCTTGAATGATCATTTATCCTAAATTATACGTATTGGCAAGTTATCTTATGAGCAATAAATACATGAATGTAAATGTGACCCAAGATCCGAAGAAGAAAAAAGTGTTGTAGGACTTACCGATTGTAAACTTTCGTTTTCACGTAAACAGGCCGTGTGAAGTTCTGACTTCAGGGTTGCGATGTGACTTCGGTGGGACGTCATTTCCTTCTCTAAGGTAGCGATTCTGGAGCTTGCAAGCTGGTAGACGTCCATGAAACTTTTAATCATATTCTAAAGACATAAAAATAATGTCACATACAATTCAAATACAGCTGTCCCCAAAGGAGAATTTCCATAATTTGAAAGCAAAATCATTAAAATTTTTAAACAAACTACTTTTCATCTTTCTTTAAAATAATAAAGCTAAACCTCTCGTTTTATATTGAGAACAGTGACTATTTTAAGAAAGTTTGGAAAAAATAATTGAGACTTCTTTTCTAGACCATTTATTTAAATAAGATGTACTTTGATCTACTGTGCTTAAAATTTAGAATGCAGTTTTTAAAGACAGCACACTTATTTTCTTTGTAAAGCTAAATTCGAGTCATAATTTGACCCAAATTTTAAACTTATGGCACACAACAAATGGATATATAAGCAAAATATTTCAAAATGAGCTGAATTAGTAAAACTTTCAATCCACCTTATAAACAAATGTTTTTAAACAAAAGAAGCTGAAATAATCCTGATTTTTTAAAGTAAATAATGTCATTCCTATATTGTAAGAAAAGCATACTTACATTTATTCATATAATAGAGTGTCCTTGCATTATACCAAATATAACAAAATAAGTAATACAAACAAGTGCTGGTAACTTTTTCTCTCCCCTAAATAGTATAATATGTGGGGAATTGCTGGACCCCCGTATTACACATTAATCATATTTTATAGACTTTTTATTCTAAAGCGACCTGGAGAAAATTTTAAGTCCAGGAATACTATTACACCTTTTTAAAATGTCTTTCAAAATACTGCAAACAGCAAAATAAAATCAAACATTTCTGACACATTCAAATTTAATGCTATATTATTTACAATAAAAAAATGTTCCAGCCACAGTCACAATTTAGTACAATGGTAAACAGACCGAGGATTTCCAAATTACATTTAATCTGAAGAGTCTAATTTGCATAAGCTTTGAAAAACTACATTTGAGCAGGTCTGAATGCATATGAAGTAATAATTTGGTGAAAAAGGTAAGCATCAACACACAGCGTCTGAGAAACAGAAGTAGGTTAGTATTTATAGGTAAGAGTAAAAAACTTCATACCTTTTGCCATGTAAATTCCTACTTTTCCTCAAAAATCCAGTTCAGACACTGGATTTTCGAGAAGCCTCTTTCGAACCCAAAGGCAGTACTGACTTTTGCTCTGGTTCTCTGTAAGTCCTTTATGCTTGCTTCTACTTTTACATGTATTGCTTTAGCAGAAATATATTAGTTTACATGTTTATCTTGACTAGACTAAGAAGCTCCTGAAACCAGATACTGTGCCTAATCATCTCTATATCTTCAGGGATGATAGTGGTCCATGCTGAGCCCTTGCTTGAATGAATGAATGAATGAATGAATGAATGAATGAATGAATGAATGAGTGACATGAAAAAACACAAGTTGAAGCCACATGTTGGCATAAAATACCTTATAGGAAAAACACTAGGATATTTGGAAAAATATAATCTTAATATTCTAATGAAAAAGTATTAATCATACTTTGTTCAAGTTCAAAAAGTAAACAAACTCATAGCTGTAGGCAGAAGAGGGCAGAGTACACAAAAGTGAATTCTGTCACCCGACACTGACTCAGCATGGCATGACCTCACGTTTGGAGACATCTTACACATCCTAACCTACCTTACTTTGAGTAAGTTCAAGGTAAGCTTGTAACTAATACTAACACAAAAATATTTCCCTAGGTTTCAAAAGTATGTAAAAATCAGAAACTATAAAATCAGATCAGTTTCCTCCTATGCCAAGTCTCTCTCCTCTCTTAGAAATTCATTCATCTTCTCCACAGAGATAATAGACCAGGAATGACCAATCCTTTTTCTTTTTTTATCCTCTCTCTACCACTTACTAGGCTTTATGTTGTTGGGCAATTGCACGGCATATCTCTGAGTCCATCTCCCCCCTCCATGAAATGGGAAGGAGAGTCATTTTCTTGCCTGTTTCCAAAACTATTGCAAGGCTCAGATCATTAAAAATCTAATGCAGGTTGAAGAAAGATCTCTTACCCTTTGAGACGACATGGAGGGACCTGGAGAGTATTATGCTAAGCAAAACAAGCCAAGCAGAGAAAGAAAAATATCACATGATCTCACTTATTTGTGAAATATAATGAACTAAACAAACTGCTGAACAAAATTAACCCAGAGACATACAGGTGGGTACAGACTGACAAGCCTCAGAGGAGGGGGGGGGGGTTGGGGGAAGAAGAGATAAACCACAGAACTCACATGCATGTATGCATGACCAATGAACATAGACAACAAAGCTGGGGATGGGGCGGGGGGGGGGAAGGGGAGGATGGTGTCATTGGGGGAAAAATGAGAAACATCTGTAACAAAAACAAATTAATAAATAAAAAATAAATACATTAAAAAAATAATAAAGAAAGAAAGAAAGAAAAATGGTGGTGGAGTGAATGGAAGCTACACAGACAATCTCCCAGGACCAAACAAGAATTACCACTAAAATAAAGCAAATCGTCAAAAAAAAAAAAGTAGCAAGAAAGGACCATATAACCAGGGACACTGGTAGGATTGCAGAGGCGCGAGAGGGTGGCAGGCTGGGAGCCCACAGACAGCAGCAGTCTTAGCTGTGAGCAGTGCCATTGGGGTTAAAATCCCAAGCCCGCTCCACAGTGCAGAGGACCAGAGCACTGAATTGGCTACAGTCACTCACCTGGGGCTCTGGCAGAGGGAGGGCTCTGGAATGGAACTCTGTGGGGATATCCAGGATTTAGAGGGCACTCTAAGTTTTGGCTGAGTCATGGCCACAAAGGCCAGTGGGCAACTTGCTCCTTCCCAGAGCTGTGGGGAAAACCAGCAGCCCTTCCCTCAAAGATTCAGCCCCTTACAGGTGAGCCGAAGAAATGCAAATCGAGGTTCATTAACAACCAGCATCTGTCCCACCCTCTGGAAATCCTCTTACACAGAATACCAGAGGGCTACATTCCAATGGCCCTGAGTAACTGAGACTAATAGCCTCCAGGCAAAAAAGCTAAAGGACAACTGAACCTTTCTTGGGCTTGCAAATATACCCAGGAAAGTAAGACTTGACAGTGGTGTTTAACGTGGGTCCTCCCACACTCATCCAAACCCAGCAGTGGGAGCCACAAAGAGCAGAACACCAACACCTTCAGGAAAAATTTTGCAGGTTCCAAAACCCACTGAGATAGCCAAAATGGTGAAACAAAGAAACAAATCCCAAATGAAAGAACAAGAGAACTCTATTGAAGATGAGATAAATGAAATGTAGTTAAGCAAGTTATCAGAGGTAGAGTTCAGAGGAATGATCTTGAGGAAACTCAACAGCATGAGTAAGGACATCAACACCATGATTAGAGATATAAAAATAATGAAAAACAACCAATTGGAAATGAAAAACCACCAAGAAGAAATGAAGAATGACATAGCAGAAATAAAGAACACATTGGAAGAACTAACCTGCAGAGTAGAGGAAGCTGAGGACCCGATCAGTGAATTAGAAGACAGGGTGGAAAAACTCAACCAATCAGAAAACCAAAAGGAAAAAACAATTACAAAACAGGAACACAGCTTAAAAGAACTGTGGGACCACTGGAAACATAATAACATTCGCATCATAGGAGTCCCCAAAGAAGAAGAAAATGAGCAAGGATTAGAGAATATATTTGAAGAAATAGTGACAGAAAACTTTCCTAATTTGGTGAAGGAAGAAGGCATTCAAGTTCAAGAAGCACAGAGAGCCCCAAGTAAGAAGAACCCAAACAGGCCCACACCAAGATTCATAATAATTAAAATACCAAAAATTAAAGACAAAGAGAGAATCCTAAAGGCAGCAAGAGATAAGCAACAGGTTACCTGCAAAGGAACCCCCATAAGGCTATCAGCTGAGTTCTCAAAAGAAACACTACAGGCCAGAAGGGAATGGCATGGGGTAATCAAGGTCATGAAAAACAAGGATCTGAATCCAAGACTACTCTACCCAGCAAGGCTATCATTCAAAATAGAAGGTGAAATAAAGAGCTTCCCAGACCAAAAAAATGTCTAAAGGAATATATTAGCACCAAACCAGCACTGCAAGAAATGTTAAAAGGATTCCTGTAATTAGTAGAAGAAATAGGAAGAAAAATAGAACCACACTAAACAAAAATGGCAATAAATAAGTACATATCAATAATCACCTTAAATGTAAATGCTTTGAATGCTCTGATAAAAAGACACAGAGTAGCTGACTAGATAAGAAAGCATGCCTCACATATATGTTGTTTACAAGAGACCCACCTCAGAATAAAAGACTCACATAGGTTGAAAGTGAAGGGATGGAAAAAAATCTTCCAACTAAACAGAAAGGAAAAAACAGCTGGGGTAGCAATACTCATATCTGATAAAATAGATTTCAAAATGAAGGCCAGAACTAGAGACAAAAAAGGCCACTACATAATATTGAAAGGATCTATCCAACAGGAAGATATAACCTTGATAAACATATATGTACTCAACATAGGAGCACCAAAATATATTAAAAATCTTCTGGAGGACTTCAAAGGAGAAATCAATAGCAGGGGACTTCAACACCCTGCTGACATCACTGGATGGATCCTCTAGACAAAAAATTAACAAGGAAACAGAGACTCTAAGAGAAGTGCTAGATCAAAGGATTTAATAGATGTCTACAGAGAATTACACCCCAAAACTGCAGAATGCACATTCTTTTCAAGTGCACATGGAACATTCTCAAAGATAGACCACATGTTAGGGCACAAACTAAGTCTCTACAAGTTCAAGAAGATTGAAATCATATCAAGCATCTTCTCAGATCACAATGGCATAAAACTAGAACTCAATTACAACAAGAACATGCAAAGACATTGGAACACATGGAGGCTAAATAGCATGTTATTGAACACTAAATGGGTTACCATGAAGATCAAGAAAGAAATTAAAAACTTCCTGGAAACCAATGACAATGAACACAAAACAACACTAAATCTATGGGATGCAGTGAAAGAAGTTCTGAGAGGGAAGT